GTCTAGGTGCTGTGCAGCAATATTATAGATATTGACTCGACGTCATTTCGATCACCTGATCCCGGCGCTGCTGCATACAGGCGTGAGAAGAGGCTGCCGCTCCAAGCAGTGCACGCCGCCAGCAGCAGCGTCAGCGCGCCGCCGGGCAGCCAGCCCAGCTGGCCGTAGGAGTGAGGCATCAGCCACAGGCCCCTGGGGGCGTTACCGGGCGCCGCGGGGCCGGGGCGGGGCGAGGACGAAGAAGGGGGTTGGTGTGTGACGGCGCGCGTCGCGCGGGCGGCGTTGAGTCGGCACCTTGCCCGATGGACAGCGGAGGGGCGTCAGAAGGGGCGTCGCTGTAGCGGCGTATCCTTGTGTACCGCAGTACCGCAGCAGCGCACCACGCCCATGCCTTCCCCTCCTTTCCCCTTCCCATTGGGCTGTGGTTGTGGGAGCAATTTTTGCGGGCCGCTCACCACCCCAGCTGCAGCGACAGCAGCGCGAGCAGTGTGTCCGTGACGCTGCAGCGCCGCGACTTGCCGCCGGCGCCCGCGGCGGCGCCGTCCTCGCAGCCATCCAGGGAGGTCTGTCGCCGTGCCCGGATGGGGTTCAGATGCATTATCGATAAATCGGGGTGGCACGGCAAGGCAGGAAAGCGGTGCACAAAGCCATGGGTAATTCTTCTTTGACAGAAACTCCGAGAGCAGCCATGTGTGCGAACTGCCCCGCCCGGCCGCATGGAACCCCCCCTGCCCGTGCAGTTATTAGGCCCTGTCCCCAAGCCCCGCACCCGCAGCTTCCCATCGGCTGCAGTGGGGCCGGAGCCGGGGGCCTCTGCAGCGCGAGGCGGGCGAATGGGGGTGAGGGGCATTGTCCGCTGGGGGCCGTTTACCCGCTCAGGCCGCTGACAACGGCCAATGATGCCATCTCTTTGCAACGGCCCTCCGCCGCTGTGGTGTAGAACTGCTGACAAGTGCATTACAAGTCGTCAAAGGCAGCCTGGGCTTTGCACACGGAGCCGTGATGCTTCGACTGCAGCATCCTGCTTCTGCGCAGCGAAGCGCGCGCGCACTTGCGGGCAGGTGGCGGCGCCTCGCAGGCAGGAGCGCGCCACCCTCAGCTGCGCTTGGAGATGAACTTCCATCTGCGTGCTCCCCTAGACCCCTCATTGTTGCAGGCTGGGCCGGGACGCGGGGGTGTGCCACAACGGCGCCCTCCGCATGCTCTCAAGGTATTTTTGAACGAAACAAAAGTACTTCAGGCTATATTATATGGATGCAACAGGTCCCATCGGGCGATCTGGGGGCTGAGAAGAGGTATGACGGGTGCAGAAACAGACTGGGGCCGTCCTATTGTAAGCGGGATGTGCCAACAGCAAAGATCATGCATTGTTATCGTTGTTCATATGAGCCTGCATCGGGTTCGCTGATACAACTTCACGGCAGCTCGCCTCGGATCCTCCTGCAGTGCACCATGTGGCCGCTGCCCCACCGCGCCCCGACAAATCCCCGGCCACGGCTCATATCGAAGCATCCACAGGGCGAAATTCACATGTAGATGCTGACGTCGTGGCATCAAATTGCAGCATTTACAGCCTTGAGTTGGATGCACGGCACGTTGACTGGTCCCGTCAACTCTGCACACCACTTGCAAACAAGGCTGGGCCCTCCTGCTGCCACCGCTCGACTTTCAGCCACGCCGACGTTTTCAAAACTACACGAGTGACAGATGCCCAGGCCCTGGTGCTGCGGTGGTTGACAGATGGGCGGCGTCCTGTTCTGCGTCGCTCATGGCAACCGCTCCTCATTGTGGATAACAACCAACTGACCTCAGCCCCCAGCGCGTGAGGCTGACTTTTTGTGTGGAGTCCCTCGCCCCAGCAGCTGTAGTAGGGACATGGCGCCCCGGCGCGCCACCTGCGGACACGGCCATACGCCAACAAAGCCGTGAATCGTACGCCTACTGAAACAACGCTACCTGTGTGTGCCGATCTGGTATGGGGGTGAGCGGGGGTCAGGGGCTTGCCCCCACCGTCATTACTACACCTCCTGCGCCCCCACCAGCTCGTCGTCGTCGAGCCAACACGCACAAACCACAAAGGCTGCATGCCGCATTGGTGAGCGGGTCAAATGAGAAGTCACACACACGGAACCTCCACAGGCCGCTGCGCCTGACAGGTTCAGGCCGCTGCGCAGACAAAGCTTTTCGCGCCCCGCGGCAGCTCACAGGTCAATGCGCTTGTTGCTGGGGGCGCTTGCTTTTGCATGATGTTCTGCAAGAGGATTGCAGCAAGCCACATGACGCTTGAGACAATTTCCATTATTGCAAGTACAGAACAACTGTCCCGCTGTGCTGCCACGCCACCGTGCCTGTCCGGATTTGTGTGTGAGCTCTGGCGGGCATGGCCGAGGCTCAGACTCCCAGTGAGCGGGGCGTGATGTCGTGTGGGAGGTTGCCGTTGCGATATACCGAAAAAAACACGTTTTGCTCGGGGGTCTCGTGCTGCATGGTAGTCAGCCTGGTCGCGCTGCTGTCGCTCTCGCACATCCTCGGAACAGGCAGCGATGCAGTGCTCCGCGCCGCCGCTGCGTGCCTACCCGCGGAAGCACTGGCCGCCATCTACGCCGCAGCGGTCCGCAACAGCGCCGGCCGCCGCGTCTGCCGCGCCATCGACGCCGAGGCGCCGTTCGACGTGCCCGCCGGCCTGCGCCCAGATTCAAACGATCCGCAGCGCTGGACCGTGGTGGCGCGGAACGACGCAGAAGTCTGGCAGCTGACTTGCTGCGACAAGAACTTCTTCGTTTCCTTTGACCCCTGCCGCCGGCTTCTCAATGCAATCTCGATCTGCGACTTCAATTGCTGGCCTGACAGGCATCCCACGCTGGAAATGATGATGGCGGCCGCCGACCCTGACGCGAGGCCCGCTCTCGCGGCGGCGTGCACCATCATCCGCCGTGTCTACCCCGCTGTGGACCCAAAGGCTGTGCGGGTGTACTGGGAGGGCGAGGACCAGCCGGCGCCCCTGGCTGCGAGTGTGCGGGCCCTGCTGGTTGGCGAGTGAGATTGCGTGGGCAGAGGCAAACCCCGCCACCTCTTGGCCGGGCTTCGGGGTCGCCCACAATCCCACACGGCAAGTGGCGTTTGCTTTGGGGCTTGCCGAGTGCGGCTGGCCTATCCATGAATTCCCAGTTCGAGCAGCTGCGCAGCTTCGTGCTCAGTTGTTGTCTTTGCCCAGGTTTTATGTGTACCTTGCCACTCCGAATGTCGCTCGTGCATAGCCACACGGACCCTGGCATCAATTCATATCAAGTTGTACAGCGCCGCATGCAGCCTGTGCGGCGCGCACATGCCGTGCGCTGTCTGTCATCCCTGTCAAGGGATGACGCGCTCAGGCGTCCGCCTGTGGTAGTTGGTTGTTTGATTGTCCCTGGCCTAGGGAGAGCTCGACCCCGGGTTGAGTCGCACCTGTACTAGCGGCGGCGGCCACCCGCATCCTTGCTGCACACGCACACGACCAGGCAGGCTTCTCCTTACCCCTCTTGCCGGGCAACACCAGCAGTGTACACCAGTTCGTGCTCAAGATCAAGCAGCCGGGGCGTTGCAAGTTATCTAGCCTATCCATAGTGCACCAGTAGCCATATGTGTCTGCAACAGTGCTTACAGCCTGCCTGCAGTGACCTGCAGGTGTGCATGTCCTCTAGAATTCAGGGGCCATTCTCTTTGGACTCTCGCGCAACTATTTTTGATCATCGCGCTGAGGCCTAGCTTTCACTGGAGTAAGTTGGCAAATCGGCGGTGCTCCTGCAATCACTGCTGTTGAGTCGCGAGGGGGTAACCCCGCAACTGGGATGAGCATGCAGTGTACACTGCTGCGAGGCGAGCACAGGTAGCTTGAGAGTCGCCGTGTTTGAGTTTGAGTTACCCTTGCACGTTGTTTACGTTATGCACCTCGCCCCCGGTAACTTGGTGCCCTGCCTGCCTCTTCAAACGCAAGTCCTGGGCGTGCACAAACACCTTTTGGGGCACGAGACAGCGAGGGCAACAGTGCGGCGGGGCAGCCGCGGATTGCGGCGCAGCTGGGGTCCCGATGGTTAGCCCATGGCTGAATAAAGTTCACCCGCGGGCGCTGGCTGGTGGATAGCAGAAGCGCCGGCTGCGACGACCCGTGACTGGACCTGCTGCTGGGCAGCAAATGGAGCCAAAGCACAAGCTGCTGATGGTGTTTTTGGCAGCCGCTGTTGGCGCCAGCCTCACCACCAACATTGGTGCTTCCCAGCCGGGGCGGCAGCCTGAGGGAGTGGCACAGCTGCTGCTGCGCTGCGTCTGGCGTGTGCCGGGGGCCGGGCCGCGCATCAGTATGGTGCGCCACCGCATTGATTGTTGCTTGCTGCACCCCTTGCACGTCCTTGTTTGTTTTCACCTGTACTTGATATCAGTGGATTACCATAATCAAGAAGCGACCTGTCATCAGTACGCAAGGTCAGCATGCTCGGTCCTGTCGCTGTACGCGCGGCAGCTGAGCACACAGATCACCACGCTGTCTCTGCTGCGGGCGCTTCCTTAACTGCAATGCGCTTCTGCAAGGGGATCGCAGTAGATCGCGTGAATTGAGAGGCTTTACATCATCATAACCACGAAAACAACTGTCCTTCTGTGCTGCCACGCCACCGTGCCGGGACCCTCGTCTGATCACGTTCAGAAGCTCCGGCATGGTCGAACCTCCTCCCAGTGAGCTGGGCGTGATGTCGTGAGTTTGCCATTTAGATTATCGTGTAAAATATGCGCACTCTGACTCGGGTATTTCGTGCAGGGCTGTACAGCACCCAGCTCAATTGCGCTGCTGCGCTTTCACTCACCCTCGGCGCAGGTGAAGACGTAGGCAGCTGCGTGCTCCGTGCCGCTGCAGCGCACCTGCCCGATGCTGTGCTGGCCGCCATTTACACCGCTGCGACCCGAGACGGTCGCCGCGTCCTTGACGCGATCGACGCTGCGGCGCCGTTCGATGTGCCCGCCGGCCTGCAGCCGTTACCTCAGTATCCGCTGCGCGTGAACGTGGCCATGCGAGGCGGCGCGGACACCTGGCAGCTGACTTGCTGCAACGACATATTTGTCTTGATCAACTGCAGCCAATGCCGTGCCAGACGGGGGCCACTCTGGGGCTTCGCTTGCAGGTCCAACGCGAGATTGTTCCTAAAAATGTACGTGGCGGCCGACCATCCCGACGAGAGGCCTGCCCTTGCGGGGGCGTGCACCCTCATCCGACGCCTCTACCCTGCGGTGGACCCAAGGGCCGTGAGGGTGTACGGGAGGGGCAAGGGCCAGCCGGTGCCCCTGGCCGCGTACGTGCGGGCCCTTCTGCTGGCCGGCGAGTGACGCGCGCGACGCGGCGCGGGTGTGAGGCGCACTGGGCCTCGCTCCTTGGTGCTGCTGAGCCAAACAACAACACAGGTCACCTTGCCTAAAACTTTGTCAGGAAACCAGTATGGTGTTGCAGATGCGCGCGCTTGCGCGCCCCGCGCGCGCAACCTGGCCCAACTCGGCGTAACCCGCGGTCACGCCGGGTTGTCGAGGGCGTCCGTTGGTAGGCTCACTCTGGATGGGGCGTCTCTTTCAGAGCTTGCCAAGTGCGGCTGGCCTGTTCACATATCCCTTTGCGCGCCGCCGCTCATCTCAGTGCTTTGTGAGTTGTTGCCCCCCGCAAACGCGGTTTGGTGCACCTTGCTGCCGCACCCGATGCTCCTGCAGAGCCAGACAAACCCTAGCAGCAATCCACACAGCATCGCATGTCGCCGGCGCGGCGCACGCGCGCGCACGCCCCGCCCTGCCTGCGAATCTGGAAGGGATGACGCCCTTGTGGCGCCGGCCAGTGGTATGGGATTGTACAAAATGTTGCAGCTCTCCCTGGGTGGAGCCGCATTTGCATGCACCAGCGGCGATGGCGTGTAGGCAGCTCCTTACAACTCACTGCACACGCATACTGGCAGGCTCCGCGCCGCCCGTCTTACCTTGTCAAGATGCGCAGATATAAAGTGTGTACCCAATATCTTGCCCAAGCCCAACCAGCCCCGGTCGTCGCTGGTGATGCACTTTGCCTCGAGATGACGTTCTTGTGGTTGGAGCCCTGCCAGCCCCTTCAAGTTGCCAGCCACCGGCCTGCACAATCACACGTCACGGCACAGGAGAGCGGGCCCAAAAGGTAGTGCAGCGGGGCAGCCATGCATTGCCGCACAGCTCATGGGTCCCCATGGTGAGTCCATGGCTGAGGACGGGTGACCCAAAAGGGCAGGCTGGCGGCTGGAGAAATTGATACAGCGCCCGCTGCAACGCCCGGTGACTGGGCCTGCTGCTAAGCAGCACCTTGAGCCGCTGCACGAGCCGCTGATGTGTTGCATTTTTTACATTGCATGTGCTGATGGGAGCTGCAGTACGGCATGGACATGGTGTCATTGGATGTGCCCGCTTGTTTTCACATGGCAGGCAGCTGCTCTTGACCAAGCGCAGGGGGCTGCTAAAGCAACATGCAAGGGTGGGGCAGATGCCATAGGCAGCATGAGTCATTGGTGGACCGTGAAAGGGCCAAAAGCTGCCTGAAACCTGGAACCTGCTAACGAGTGTCTGCATCTCGATCACCAGGCGGGCAGACATGCTTGTTGCAGCTCAAGTGATGGCAGCCGCTCCTCGCTCGTCCCCGTCCCCGCC